AGGAATGCCAGGTCCCAGCGATGAGGGAGAAGGGTTGGAGCAAGGAAGATGTACCCTTGCTGGGAGAGGATCAGGTCAGGGAATATGTAAGCAAACTGGACATGAATAAGTCGATCGGCCCTGATGAGATACACCCACAAGTGCTGAGGGAGCTGGCAGATGTCATTGCGAGGCCACCTTTGATAATCTTTGATCGATCATGGCCACTGGGAGAAGTGCCTGAAAGGCACTGGAGGAAAGAAAATGTCACTGCTATCTTCAACAAGGGCATGAAGGAGGACTGAGAGAACTACAGAATGCTCAGCCTCACTTCAATCCCTGGGAAGGTGATGGAGCAACTAGTCCTGAAAACCATTTCCAGGCACAGTAAGGACAAGCAAATCATCCGGAGTAGTCAGCATGGCTTCACCAAGGGGAAGTCATGCTTGACCAGTTTGATAAATTTCTACGATGAAAGGCCTGGCAGATGAGGGGAGAGCAGTGCCTGTTGTCTACCTGGACTACAGTAAGGCCTTTGACACTCTCTCCCATAAGATCCTCATAGAGAAGCTGTTGATGTATGGGCCAGATGAGCAGTGAGGTGGGTTGAAAACTGTCTCAACAGCTGAGCCCAGAGGGTGGTAATCACCAGCACAAAGTCTAGTTGGATGCCAGTGACTAGCAGTATGCTCCAGGGGTAAATACTGAGTCCAGTCCTGTTTATCATCTTCATTAATGACCTGATTGATAGGACGCTTGGCTGATGAAGAGAAAAGAATGCTCAGGAGGATCTTACTAATGTATATACATACCTGAAGGGAGAGTGTAAAGAAGACAGAGACAGGCTTTTTTCAGTGGTGCTTAGTGACAGAAGGAGAGGTAATGGGCAGAAACACAGGAGGCTCTGAGCACAAGGAAACACTTTTTTACTGAGGGTGACTGAGCACTGGCAGAGGTTGCCCAGAGAGATGGTGGAGTCTCCCATGTTGGAGATATTCAAAAGCCATCTGGACATGGTCCTGGGCAACAACCTCCAAGTGTTCCTGCTTGAGCAGGGGGGTTGAACCAGATGAGCTCCAGAGGTCCCTTCCAACCTCAATCATCCTGTGATTCAGTGATACACTTCACAGATTTGATTTGAAAAGATTTGAAAGAAAAATAAGGAAACAAAAGTGCTTTTGCTAAACAATATTTTTCTGTTCCATTTTGATTTAAAGGGCTCAAATTATTTAAAATCATGCTTTTGGAATTTATAAATATGTATGTACAAGGTTTCAATAGCAGGGGGACTACAGGGGTGGCTTCTGTGAGAAGCTGCTAGAAGCTTCCCCTATGTCCAATAGAGCCAATGCCCGACAGCTCCAAGACAGGCCCGCTGCTGGCCAAGGCTGAGCCCGTCAGTGACAGCAGTATAAGATATTTAAGAAGGGGAAATGGGAAAAAAAAAACCCAAAACAACAGGACACAAACTGCAGCTGGAGTGAGGAGTAAGCATATGTGAGAGGAACGACTCTGCAGACACCAAGGTCAGTGAAGAAGGAGGGGGAGAAGGTGCTCCAGGCACCAGAGCAGAGATTCCCCTGCAGCCCCTGGTGAAGCCCATGGTGAGGCAGCTGTGCCCCTGCAGCCCATGGAGGTCCATGGTGGAGCAGATATCCACCTGCAGCCCGGGGGGGACCCCACACCAGAGCAGGTGGATGTGCCCAAAGGAGGCTGTGACCCCATGGGAAGCCCACACTGGAGCAGGCTCCTGGCAGGACCTGTGGACCCATGGAGAGAGGAGAGCCCACGCTGGAGCAGGTTTGCTGGCAGGGCTTGTGACTCCATGGGGGACCCACACTGGAGCAGTCTGCTCCTGAAGGGCTGCACCCCATGGAAGGCACCCATGCTGTAGCAGTTCATGAAGAACTGTAGCCCGTGGGAAGGGCCCACGTTGGAGGAGTTTGTGGAGGACTGTCTCCCATGGGAGGGACCTCACGCTGGAGCAGGGGAAGAGTGCGAGGAGTCCTCCCCTGAGGAGGAAGGAGCGGCAGAGACAACGTGTGATGAACTGACCACAACCCCCATTCCCCATCCCCTTGCACTGCTCAGGGGGAGGAGGTAGAGAAATCGGGAGTAAAGTTGAGCCCAGGAAGAAGGGAGGCGTGGGAGGCAGGTGTTTTAGGATTTGGGTTTATTTCTTATTACCCTACTCAGTTTTGATTGGGAATAAATTAAACTGATTTTCCCCAAATCAAGTCTGTTTTGCCCATGATGGTAATAGCTGAGTGATCTCCCTGTCCTTATCTCAACTCATGAACTTTTTCATTATATTTTCTCTCTCCTGTCCAGTTGAGAAGGAGAGTGACAGAGCGGCTATGTGGCATTTAGCTGCCTGCCGGGAGTCCAGCCAGGGTCAACCCACCACAAAATATTAGCATATTAATTTTTGCTTTAAAAGAGTTTGTAAAAACCTTGCTGTTTGTTTGTTTCTGTGTGTATTTGTATATAAGATATATATATCAACTATAACTTTTCAGTGTTATCTTGAAACAATTTTGTTTCATAGTAACAAAAATGTTATTCTACTAAATTTATTTCAAATATGGCTCTAACTCAGAGGGTTTCAGACATTCCCATGCAAACATTTATACATACTTCCAATATACTGATGTCATTATAACCACATTAATTAATTATTTACCTACCTGAGGATGTTGCAGGTCAAGGCCTTTCTTTCCAGTATTTTGGTTGTTTTGCCTATAGCTTTTCTGTAAAATAAAGGACCTTGCTAGCAGTGTAATATAAAAACAAACAAATACCATTTATATCTATTGTTTAAAAAGAGGAAGAGGTTGTAGTAATACAAATGTTCATAACTCTCTTATGAAGAATCAGTCTGTTCTATTTAAAAAGTTCCAAGTGATGTAAATCATTGCCTTAATTTAAAACACTATTTCTTCACAGTTTCTTCCATTTGTAATTAATTAATTGATCCCATAGTTACGAATAATCTCTGTACCAAATCTAGTGAGAGCTCATTAAAATTTTTCAGACTGATTAAATGGCATTAGGATTTATGAGTCTCAGTGGACTTTTTATGTCATAGAAAAGAGAAGTTCAAAGAGAAATTTTTTGAGACTTTTTTGCTACAAAAGATGTAGTGGAAGAGTAATAGAGATTCAGAACATTATGACCATTTTGTAAGTTCAGTCTATATTGTACAAGGAAAACAGGGTGAAGGAGGCTGATTTAGCACTTAATGTGGCCATCATTATTGTGAGCTTGTGTAAAAAGGATGCCAAAAATCTATTTTTTATTTCTCATCCCTTCTCATTTTTTTCCTTTTTCTACTTCCCCCCCTCAACTGCATGACTTTTAGTGTATGCATGTAGCGTATGTATTTCACTTGCCATGGTTTTCAGATAAACAGTTGTTTTACTAGTGATGTTTCTGTTATTCCTTACATATACGTGGAGGTTGAATTTATTAAGTGCTTTAAATAAGGTACAGAAATTACAAAGGCATGAACAGCCATTCTAGGTAGTGTATTGAGCTATAAATTGGAATCCCTGCTGTTGAAATCATGTATTTTAGTCATCATAAATCTGCCCTTTCTCCATTTTATTAAGAAATTGACTTGCAATCTTTCCTGAATGCTTACAATTCACAAATCAGACATTTCATTTTAGAAATAACAAAAGCATTAAATGTAAAAATGTATAGACATTTTTCAGCTTAGTTCAAACCTACATCAATGGCTGCCTTTTCAACCTTGGCTCTAGTCTGTCCTTTGAATAGGCCTACATTCCCAATTTTTTCTCAGCTGAAACACTCTTCTAAACAGCTGTTCATGGTATAAACCATTCTGATTTACCCATGCTCTACTGTCTTATCTCCTTGGACTCACAATTTTTACCCGTTATTGTAGCATATTGCTGGATACTTGCTTCTCCCAGTGGTATAGCCTGCAATCATAATGGTCATAGTACACCTGACTTTTAAAACGTTAGGCTGCATTCAGTGGGACACATGAAGTAGAGTTTGTAGTAGATCACTGTTGTTCACATACACTGCGGTCTGTATGCAAGCAGATACAGCACATGCGAGCGGCCACTTACTGTGTGAAAAGGGATCAGTGTCACTCCACGACTCTAGCTGCCCGTGTGTTTTGAGATAGAAGGCAGAATTTGGGCTTTGTTTTCGGAAGCCACTTGACTTTTCTTGTCTGTACTGGTGTAATTATGGTTCATTCATTAATTCAAATTAGGCAGTTGATGGGTTAGAGCCAAAAAAGAACTCCTGTGTCACCTGAGTTGTTGGTGCCAATGCCTGTATAGACAGGCAGTTAGTACACTGACTGAAGATCTGGGACGTTTGAGTGTTTCTGGTTTGTGTGCTTTCTTGTTGGGCTTTTTTGGAGATAATTTCCTTGCTGCTTGCACAGAGTGCGCCTTTGGAGTCCCTTATCTGCAAGGTTGTGCTCCCTCAGTGTTCCTGTTAGCCTCATATCCTGTGCTGCACAGTGGCCAACTTCCAAACAGAGCAGAGGAGACTCTCTCTTGGCAACAGTGTCTTGTGTGGTGGGGATGGTGCTCCCTGGGAGGTGGTGGGACTGCTGAGCAACTGGTTCAGTGCCACGAGAGCTTGAAACCACTGCTGCTGCATACACATGGTGTGCTTAAGTTTTCAGCAAAAGCAGAGTTCACTCACTTGATGAGTTTAGATTACATATGGCAGATTTTACTGTTACTGTACGTGGGGTGATTGGGAGGTGAATCAAGTATGTAGCGTCATTTGTGTGTACCTAGATTGGTTTCGTTGTTCCATGCAGACATCGCCTTAAGTGTTGAGAGTGGATAGCAAGTGAAATCTGAAAGGGTATATCTGTTGGCTTGAGAACAGGACATTTCCACTTGTCTGCCTTCTAACTGAGATGAGGTGCCAAATTCAGTAGGAACCTCCCTTTCTGACTTCATAGTTTTTTGACAAATTAGGTTTTTGCTTTCATGTGTGCATCCAAAATTGCCCAATCTCAACAGCTTGTGTCTATTTCTCAGGAACTAAACATCTCTTGCAGTTAATCTTTTGTAAAGCATAATTGGAAAAGTAGTCCCAGCACATTCCTAAAATGTCAAGAAAAATTGGCTCCATAGAGAATATAACAGCAACCTGGGACTTCTGTTTTCTTTTTAAAGCAGATCATAGAATCACAGAACCGTTTAGGTTGGAAAAGACCTTTAAGATCATCCAGGTCAACCATTAACTTACACTACCAAGTCCACACTAAACCAATTAAGGGTAGACTAAACTAAACCGTGTCCCA